TTTTTCTCTCAGTGTAGTAAGACAGACTTTACTAACAATCTCCATTCCTACTACTACTAGAAACATATAGTAAAATCGAAAAGTATATATATGGAAAGGGAGAAAAATTATAGTATTCTCTCCGTGTAAATGCATACTGCCGCTCGTGACTCTGGAACACGCGATTAAAATTCGCTGCGGGACATCCAACATGCGTATCGACGCGTATCTAATCTGCAATGGTCGCGTGGCTGTACAACGATTTCGGCCTATCTTGTCCCCTTCTCTCCTCTCTCTGCCGGCAATTGCCCTCGAAAGGTAATGAGATGAGATGGCAGGACACACGGGGGGAGCAGAGACGTGGGAGAGGATCGTTGTCGACGATCGCATCTCGACGTCTCATCGGCGCGCATCCGCCCGGAAAAACAGATTTCTCTCTGCTCTGTCGATGTTCGATCGATCAAAAATTACTTTGCGGTACCAATCCCGGGGCCGGAGGAAGAGAAACGCACATAGGCGAACATAGGCTCAGCGATACAGTTGACACTAAGTACTTCGTGAGGAAAGACGGGGAATATTTTGTTCGTCTCATTTCAGCGACGCTGCGCCGCCGTCTAAGTTACTTGTTTTCTTTTTCTCTTTAACCCGGAAACTCGAAACTTTACGTTGTCTTTCTAACTTCGTGAGCATTCGTGAGCCTAACGAGCTTTATCTGTGACCAATTTTGGAGCACGCGACTTTACTAAAGGATAGATAGAAATATCAGTGATCAGCGGCCTTGTTAAACGGCACAGTTGTATACGGAAAGAATATTCTTTTTTTTTTTCATATAAATTCATGCCAATTTTACTATGTTTCCAGTGGCACAGAAATAAGTTATCAGTAAGGTCTATCTTGCCAAGGAGAGTAAACTTGCACTGTGAATTTCGCTAGAAACATACACTAAAAGAAGAAATATCTAAACAATAAAAAATATTTATTCGGTGGGTACTGATAACATATTTATTTAAAATTCTTTTATTTAAATACAATAAACAATTGCTTTCATTAAAAAGCTTTTAGGAGATGTACATTCTCCTACTTGAAAAATATCTTTTATATATATATATATATATATATATATATATATATATATATATATATATATGTATAAATACATTATTATATATAGCACCCATCGAATAAATATACTTATTTCTTTTTAGGTATTTTTATCTTACTTCTTTTAGGTATTTTTTCTTTTAGTGTAGTAAATTTTTTAATAGCACTTCTTTTAGATATTTTTTCTTTTAGTGTAACATTTTTTAATAGCATTTCACTTTTTAAAGTATAAACACAAAATTCTAGAATACTTTTAAATACTCAGAAGAATATTATTAAATTCTCAGATCCTCTAGATCAGCCATTATTTACTCTCAGTGTGTATTTCGCTTTTCCATTTAACTTGCCGTCATTATTCCCCGATCACACGGAGGCCCGTTAATGATTTCAATGGAACCGGGGCGTTGATGTCACGGCAACTTTGCACACTCATTGTCCTACAAATCGGCGTCAGAATTCGCTTCTCCATGTTTCGATCAATGGCGTTTCCTCGTCGAACTGCTCTCTCTCGCGCGCGACTGATCATTTAATAAAATTCCCCATCGAGGATTCATCAGGTCGCCGCAATTTCTCAAGAATATTCGTTGCTCCGGCGGTCGAACCGTTAAGAGTTTTATTACATCAGGAAAAGCACGTCAACGTGACGTGATCGCGAGCAGTTGTAGCAGCAGCGACCGGACATTTGGCGATTTTTGCAAAATCTCCCTTTCTCACGTGACTTCGGGGAAGGTGAGGAGTGAAGGAATACACACTCTCTACTACTGTACTCTATCGTCTGGGCGCGGTGACCTATGATAAAGGTTAACGCTGCCCCACATTGCCATTAATAAATAGGTGTTGAAGAATCGATAATCATCCACACATGCACGGTTTCACGGCGAAGCAGGTATCGTTTATTGTGGGAAAGCCGGCACCTGTTTTAAATTACCGAACGTCGTCGAATTCGCCGCGATTTCGCGACTGCGAATAAAATTTCGAGCTCGTTCGCCTCTAAGCAGGGTTGGGCAAATATGTATTTGAAAGTAACCAAGATATATATTTAAATATATATCTTACTTAAATACAATATATAAATTTAAATATATTTTTCAGATATTTTTAAATACTTTTAAATACGTATTTGCCCAACCTTGCCTCTAAGACACTCGAAGAGGGACTGAGGAAGTAGGTTCCGAATATATGCGAATATATGCGAAGAAGAAATCGGGTGTACAGAGAAATATCGTACAGAGAAGCAGCTACTGTAAAATGTTAATTCGTGAAGGAAAGAAGCGAATAAGTCCGGTCGAAATAGAGCAGAAAGGTCCACGACAAGAAGCGAGTTCGAGGAAGTTTCGATCGCCTTCCGGTAGTTATACTTAGTTCTGTTTATACTGTTTGGCAGTTTTAATTATATCTCGTCCAACGACGCGGATGCGACGTTTCGGATAAAAATAATCATGCTTCGCGCAAAAGAGAGAGAGAAAGAAAGAGAGAGATATGGATCTCAAAGCCTTACCGAATGGATTATGGAAGCCCTAACCATCCAGCCGACTCATCTATCGAAACCTTGCAGCATATTTTCATTGATGCGACGAGTGCCGGCGCTGCTGGAAATATTTTACGACGGCGAGGTTTATTTTTGCGCTGCGCACTCTCTTTTTCTCTCTCCGTTTTCAAGTCATTGATCACAATTCATTAATTTGACAACGATCCTACACGGAGAAAGATTTAGTTGGATCGACCAAATGTCTGGTAAAACGTGAACGAACCGGAAATACCGTTTGAGAAACTATCAGAATTCTATTCAAGTCAACACAATTTTTGAATTGTCTCAAACAGAATTCTGGTAATATAATATATTTGAACCGAAATTTTTTAATTAGTATATTACTGGAAATCTCATTGAAACCCGAATGCTCTGTTTCGTGCACATGTCAATATATTATGTTACTGTACCATATTTATTCGTCGTTCACACGATGAATATCACATTTGCTCGGCGAACTGTCCTGAGAAACTCGGATGTTTCCTCTGGTCCGAATCATAAATAACTTCCGTTTTTCCCCTCTTATTTTTCCTTATTTTTTTATAGTGTGCGCAAATCAATACCAGCCGGCGAGAGCACAGGTGGCCTCGCATTTTAAGATCGTGTTCTTCCGCGGCGCTGTAAATAGCGGAACATTTCTACCCTGAGGGGTGAAAAATACGATCTCGGAACACACAAGAGTGCGCGAGAAACAACTGCGCCTGCCACGGGGCCCCGTTCGCCCCGGGTCGCACTTCCCTTCGAGAAACAAGTCGCGGGAATTCCATTTTATCTATTTATTGTTAGTTATTCTTTCGCAAAAGTACTCAAAAAAAGGGAGATACGTACTGGGTGTCCGATAACTCGTATCGGAGCTGCGGTGTGCAGATAGATTAGGTCGTCAATCAATATGACCGCGGCGAGATACAAGAAGCTTTGACTTTAACTCAAAATCTTACATGGTTCTTCGCGAAATGAGGAATTTTTGGTTTATTTTGACCTAATCTGTC